AAAAAAATTGTACCAACAAAATTAACAAAACAAAACTAACGCCCGTAATTATGCAATATTGATGGATAGTCAAACATTTTTATTTGCTTTAGTATATCTTGTATAATATAACATAATAAATAATTATACTTAAATATAATATAAAATATATTTAATTATTATAACTTTAATATTTAAAGTTTTTGTTATACTACACATGCCTACACATAATTATATTTAAATACCAAAATACGAGTATTAATATTATTATTAAAACTATATATTTGGGTTTGTGAATTTAATGTGAATATTTCTAACATATACAGCTACACATATTATGTATAACAGATGTAAAATCCATAACACATAGCGGGTATTATAATTTATATTTAAAATAAAAATACAAAATAAAAAAAAAAAAAAATGAATTATCTAGACAATCCACCCCCTTAATTTTTTTAATGCAATATAAAAAAAAATTAATATACTTTCCCTGTTTTTTCCCTATTTTTTCTTATTTTCTAGCTCAATCATCAGTTTACAATATTCAGAGAGGCAGAGAGAGAGTGAAAAAAAATTTTGTTCTCATAGTGAATAGAATATAAGAGAAAAATATTGTATACTACAAGAGAAAATTATAGATAAGTACAAAAGTGTACTACAAATAATATATAAGATACAACAGGAATAAAGAATAACAGTACTTTTTATATTTTCTCAATTATATTCATTATATTTTTTGTTGTTGTTTTCTATTTTAGCTCATTATTATATTTTTTGTTTTTTTTTTTGACTTTCTATGATATTATATTTGTAAAGTGAGTATATAAGTACCCGCTTATTTTAAGCTACCATTCAATATAATACTTTGTATATCATTTATGATGTATAAATATTGTGGCTGGTACAGGAACTGTTGCTGATGCTTGTAGTAAACTGTTGTTGCCATTGTTTTTACTCTTCTATATATATATTTTTTTTTATATAAAATTGTTGTTTTAAATTTCTATGTTATTTTTTTTTGTATTTTTTGTTTTATTCTTTCCCTATACTTTGTTGTGTGTAGCCTGGGATCTTTATTTTTTTTTAGATCTGGGAATTATTTTGAAGATAACAAGAAAACAAAAACAAAACAGAAAAAAAGGTAAAATATAACAAGACCAAGCATGGAATTATAAATCTATTTATATTTTTTTCCCTCTCATTACATACATTTCTACATTCATATACGAATATATAATAATATTTTACAGAAAGGTGCAGGTGTATACAAAATATAATAGAAAAATATAAATATAGAAATTTTACCTAGGTTTGCCTACTACTTTTTATACATATGCTTTATATATAAACACAAAAATATATATATGTATGTATGTACCTAAAGATTTTTGTTAAAATATTAAAAAAAAGCGCCTAGGTGCCTAGCAATAGCAAATATTTAACATTTTAATGAAGAGCATTTTTAAAGGATATCAAATTTGTAATCATACTTAACAATGAATATGAATATTAATATACATATTTATACTATATACATAAACAGTTTCTGTTATACAATATTAAACATCAAAGTATACAACAATTATTGTATTGAAACAAAAACAAGAAAACTCAATATACGTATATAATATAATATCTGTTATAATAATGTCGAAAATTAAAATATCCATATATTATGTATGTGTATGAGAGTGAAAAGGAAAGAAAATAATAGACAAAAATGAAAATAATTATGAGATAGAAATAGAAATTTTATAACAAAAATGTTTGAAATTCTAAAGACCAAATACAATAGAAACAAAAATAAAATAAATTTTTTCCATTAATTTTATTTTTTTACTCTTTGTTCCTTGTTCATATACATGTATAGAATATTACAGTTATTCGCATATGTATAACATTGTATACACTTAGCTTGTTAAAGCCCTTTCCTTATTAAATGAGAAATATTAATAAAATAGTGTTAGAATGTATTCAATTTTATGGTATAACACTATATACTATAAGTTGTAAGATTAAATACAAATTAAATTTTAAGACTTTTCTAAATAAAATAGAAACTATGAAAGCAAAATAGTAAATAATATAAAATGTTATTTATGTATAAATACGTGTATAACTGTTGCACTAATTTCAATTAGATTTGACTTTCTAATATAAAATCGACAATTTAAAATCTAACAAATAAATTTGAACACTTTTACATGGTAAATTATAATAAAATTCAACAATGAACATAAAAATTCCTGCGGTTCGGTAAATTCTAAACAGGCTGGTCCGAAACTGTTGTTAAAGATAGTTTCTTTGAGCATCATAGAAAGAAAGTTACTAGTATTGGGAGAGAGATATTCGGCGTTTAACTGAGGCTCCTATAGGGGTCAATTTTTGCGGAAATAATCAAATCGAAAAATTTCAGTTTGACAAATTTCTATGATACGATTAGACTTTGAATTTACTAAAGTCGATTTTAAACCAAGTCATTACTACAATGATTTCAAAACTTATTTGACACTATTTTAAATTGTAAAAGTAAATTTAATTGGAACGTTTTATAAAGTTATATACAATTAAACGTATACTAATCAACCTCGTTAACTTAGAACACTGAAAAGATCAATTAAATTCCGAAATATGCCCCATATTATAAGAAATATTTTTAAATCAAATTTGGTAGACTGACAGCACAAATATGTTTTTCAGGCACTAAAAATCGTAAATGGCCGTTCTATAATAGCAAGAATTACATAAAATTTTTTTAATTATTGTTTTACAAAAATCGCTTCAGATAGGCTTTAGTATACCCGAATTACAGTGAGAGAAGCTAATGGGATATAGAGGGATTCTTACAGGGTACAGTTTCGTTAAGTTGATTGAAGTTTTGTCATATACAAAACTTCAATCAAAACTTCAATCAAAAAAAATTCAATATGCAAAAAATTTGAAAACTTTTATATAGGTAAACAAAATAGGGAAAAATACAAAGTTTAATTACTCATCAAATATGATTAAATTAAAATGATGAAGTGAAGCCTAACAAAATATCTTAAAATTTTAATCAAGAATCGTTTTTTTTTCTCTATAATTTTATTTTTAAAATAAAATCATAAAATAATTAAAATTGAAAATTACATAAAAAAAAAATGAAAATAATTTGTAAACACACACGCGTGCAAGTGCACTTGTTGTTGTTGTTTTTTTTTCTGCTCATAGTTTTTTTTTAACTTTCTTTAGAAACTCTTTATCAATTAGATTAATTAGACTATATAAATTTTATACTCAAACATATTGTGTACAACTTTACATACTTCTATTAATTTGAAAAATTATTTTTTTTTTCCCATTTTTTAATTTTATTTTTATTATAAATTTTGCTTTTAATTTTATTAAATCCCGGGCATCTAATATAGACTTTTATAAAAATTTTCAAAGGATTTTGATGATATCATATTTTCACATGTATAACAGAATAAAAGGTGAATTATTTTTAAACAGAAAACATAATCATAAAAACTAATTACTTAATTTTCATATTCTATTAATTAGGATGGGAACAAAAAACTCAAATAAGCAAATAAATTAGAAAATTTCTTTAAAATTTTATTTTAAAATTTAGATGAACTTTATCATTTATTTACTATGAATTAATTATAAACGGAAACACTCTAATTATGAATTTTTCAGCTACCAGAATTGTTTTACTTTTAATTGTATTAGTTTTAAAATTGTTCAGATTTTCTCTAATGAGTTTTTCTTTTTAACGTTAACATTTTTTGTACTGGTATTGCCTGGTATTTTGTATGTAGTTTAGGAAAATGACTTAATGTTGGCTTTAAAACTATATTTGAACTAGTAATATGTAAAATAAATATGTTAAGTTTTTTTCATAAATAGGCTATGATTATTTTAAAAATTTCCCTAAAAAACGTATTTTATATAAACTCCTATCCTAATTTGCAGATAGTTTTCTACTATGTAATAATTTTAGAATTAGCGTACATGTTATATTTTACAAGAGATCCAAAAGTAACACGAACTACATATGATTTCCAAACTCTAGCATTCATTTATATTAACCTCCGAATCGCATGTAATTCCCAACGATTCTAACACTTTATTGATGCTATATTCCAAAAAACCCACACAGTAATTTTATTCCTCTATTTCGTTTTTATCTTCTTATCATCATTTAATTTTGATTTTTTGAATAATTCCTAAATACCTAAAAAAAACTGAATACCTAATAATGCCTTCCTAAATTTGTTGTGAAAGACACGGTAGTGGATTCTAATGAGATTCTATAGACACCTCACATTGAACTTTTAGCATAAATTAATTAATTTTAGTCTTATTGAAATAGAAAACTAATAGAATTGAAGCCAAAGTTTCCCTTAAAAAATTCAACTACCAATGAATAAAGTGAATTAAATATGATAAATTACAAAATAATTTTCACATACTACAAATAATAACTATAAACGGTTTTAATAACTATAAAAGTTTAAATGTTAATTTTTCTTTTAATTATTTGAACATAGTTTTAAAAAATTACGTTAAATCATAATGAGTATACAATAATCATACTGATAAGTAATGACCAAAAATTTAAAAACATGTTCGCCTAAATATATGCAACATTTTTTGAAAATATAATTTTCATGCGGAAATTTTAATTCAAATTTCATAGCAAAACTTGACTAGAATTTTGTTTTAAACGAAAATTCTTTTGAACCGAATTAAATCAATTTCTTACTAAAATACAAGTATATGTATATATAAATGAGTACATACATATATGTACATTAATTTAATAAAGAGAAAATTAATTTTATTTTTAAAATAATTTTAAAAGGAAATTAATTTTAATTAATTGAAAAAAAAAAAAAAGAATATTAAGCAAAAAAGAAAATTTTTTTTTCTTCATTATACTTTTGAGTTTTCGTTTTCACTTAGCAACCTAGCAAAAATTTTCTTTTTTTTTTTTAATTTTCTTTTATTATGCTTATTATTATTGCTATTATCATAATAACGTCATCATGTTTTATTTGGAAATATTTTTGAAAATTTTTTCTCTTTTTCTATATCCAACAAAAATGTTTGTACATACAAAAATATTTTCCTTACATACATTCATTTTCAATATGACGCATTTAAGGATGACATTGCTGATTATTTGAAAATGAAACAAGGACGAAAATTTACTTGATTTTTACTTTTGTGTTTTTTTTTTATGTTCTTCTGTAGTTCTTGTTTTGTGTTTTTTTTTTATACATAAATAAATTTGAACAGGAATAATTTGTGAAAAAAAAGTGTGAAATCGCTATGGTAATAATTTTTATTTTTTTTTTTTTTTTTTTTTGTTACTGTTTTGTCCCTATGGCGATTTAATTGAAAACTGCTGTTTTTTTTATTTCATTTCAGTATTTTGTGTATTATTTTAATATTTTTATTTTTATTTCATGTTTTTTCCCACAATATATTGTTTGAAAGACAGTCAATAAAATGTTTGTAATATCAAAAATGAAATATGGAAGATTTGGGCTGGTATGTTCTAAATAATAACAGAATAGCAAGATAATTTAACTTAATGGAAATCTCTTCATGCAACTGCAGAACAGATGGATGTCGTAATCGAAAGAACGAGTTAAAGGCAGAAAAATTAATTACAAAATTTTTCTCCTCGAACTGGACTCGAACCAGTGACCTACCGCTTTCTAGGCGGACACTCTACCAACTGAGCTACAGAGGCATGAAGCTACAAAGCAAGATAACTTTATTCATTAGTTTTGTGTAACAATTGTTTGCAATCATAGTTTGAAAGTGAACGTTAAAAATTTCAAAATATTGCAATTTTCCGATAAGACTTGTTTTAAAATCTTCGTAATCCTTAAAATTATGTAACGAGAACAAAACCAAATTCAAAAGTAAGAAAAAAATTTTTTTCATAATAATTACTAGAAATAGTTGTCATTTATAAGCAATTAAAATCTTAAATAATTACATTTTTTTAGTCATCTCTATTATCGCATGGGTGCGGTATAAAACATTTATGCAAACGTGTGTAATACTAAGAAAGCATTTCCGACGTCATAAAGTAGTTCTTGCTCAAAATCATTATTTTTTTAGGTAACTTATAATATATACACATTTATCAAACCATTTAGTTATTAATTGTCTACCCTCGAATTTTTTTACGATAACAATAAACATAAATTTGCATTTTTTAATCGTTTACTTGTTGGTTATCGTTCATCTGATAACAAAAAGAGCCTAAAACTTCAAACTTAGCACACTGGCATATTTTAACTGCAAAACAGATGTTATTGTTATCGAGGAAGACAAGACGGTAGACCACCTGTTTTCCAAATGCAATGCGGTAACTCGAGTACAGCTAAGAAGTTTCGCAAATAATTTTGTGATCCGGTGAAAATTTTGCGGCAATATACTGGACAATTTATCAGGAGCCTCAATTTGTTGCGAATATATGCAGAGATGAGAGTAACAAAAGATCCGATATGGATATCCGAAGGTTTTGTTAACTAAAATTTTATTAGCTTACATATATTCCTTAAGAATTTTCCATAAACTTTATTATTGAATCAGCAATCTTCCATTTGTATTTGAATAATATTTATAATATACAATCATATGCAATTTACTTCACTTACCTAAAAAGAAAAAAAAAAGAATAAAAATTAATTAATTTAATTATTATTAAAATTTTAAATTTTATTTTAATAAAAAAATTTTCTAGAACTTAGTTATGAAACCTTAAAAAAATCGAAAAAGTGATTTTGGCTAATTGGCTTATTGCATAAGTACTTTAAATGCACAAAGCTAAAAATAATGACCACTGAATGAAGCCAAATTTTGTTCTTTTTCTTATAAATCCAAGGATTTAAATTTTAAAGGAGGATTATATGTTCTTGTTTTAATTATTTTCCCCAAATTTAAACATATTTGAAATTTTAGCACTTTTAGCCATTTTCACATTCAAACATTTAAGCAATTTTCACATTATAATTGCTTGAAACTGCCAAGTACAGTGGATCGATTTTCACAGCTGCACTCTACTATTAATTTTTTTTGCATTTCTTCTTATGTTTATTTCTTTTTTGCTATCATAACGCTTGTTGTGACACCAATTGTTTGGTTTAACAATATTTTTAACATAAAAATCTAAAGTCGTACAGGGAAACGAAATGTTACTTGAAAATTTTCGTGAATTATTAAACAATCATATCAGATGTCTAAAATATAACCATCGCAACTTTAAAATTTTTTGGTAAAAATGCAATTAAACATGTCAAGGCTCATTCTATTTGTTCCGTCATAATCCACACATTCATATTATGTATAAATTCTAATTATAATTTAAATATTAAAAAAATGAAACTGTTAAACATAAGCATCTTTTATGTATCATTAAACTTTTGATATACATATTTTTTTTAGTTCTCATGTGTTGAAACAAAAATATATGACCCAAAGAAAATAATAAAAGCTTATGTACCTATAACAGTTTCAAAGTCATACCGAATAAATTAAAAATTTTTTAATTTCGAAGACTTATTTTATTAGGGCAATTTCATTAAACAGAAATTATGCTAAAAAAATCTTAAATACTTAAAAAATTTCAAAAAGCGAACTTATTATTTATAATTTAATTTTTAAAAAACTCAAGTTCTTATATTCAAAGTTTTTTTCATAATATTCAGATTTAATAAATTTTAAAAAATATTCACGTATTCACGTAAATTCAGAATGACTTTAAAAATGGAATTAAGTAACTTAATCAAAAACATTTGAATTTTCGACGAAGCGATTTGACACATGTATTTAGGACGAAGAACCAATAAAATCACTAGAATTTTTTCTTCTCTTTAAATCAATATTCGGCTTAATAATTGAATTTCAATAGACTTTGTGAGTTTTTGAGCAATATACTTCTGAAAATTCTCTAGTAAAATTTTTAAAACCAACTTTAATTTTTAACACAAATAACATACAAAGAATTTAGGGAAAATTTTAAAAAATTTGGATACTAAAATGTGGTACAATAAATTTAGAACAAGCATGTAACATTTAGCATTAAATACGGTTTTAGACACGAGAGCAAATTCTTCTTAACAACAAATTCGGAGTAATAAATTCTTCACTATCTAAGCGGAAAGTTCCAATTGAAAATTTTTCATGTTACACCAATACTTACATAATTATAGTATCAACCAAAAAATTATAAAAATAAAACTAATAAACTTATATTTGCATATGTATATAGATTATGTACATATATATGTATATATATATATATATATATATATATATATTAACATGTATTAGATATAATGTTATATTATCCTTGCTTATACATACAGTAGCTTGTGAAATTATAAAAATATTTTATTTCACGTGAAATTAAATTCGATATAGTGTATATATATATGTATAGGAAGTAAAAATGTTTATGCGGCAATTTATTTAATACACTTATAATTTTTTATACACTTGTAGACTTTTGTTACGCTCATAAAACCACATATAACAACACTATACTATTAATCTAAATTATAATATTCTTGACATACAAATAATATTATAATATAAGAAATAAGACGTAATGGGATGTAATGAGATGTAAAAAATTGGAACAACATATTAAATAACACCGACTAATTATAAAAATACAACGCAAACTTCAAATTCCCTTTTACATTTTTTCAAGATTTTGTTACAGGAATCAACAAAATTAATCTTAAACATGTTAACAATTGTAAATAAGTAAAGCGTGCATTACTTTAAATATAGAAAATTTAGAAAAATTTTATTAAAAGTTCAAAAACAGAACCAACAAGATCCTTTTTATAAAATAATTAAGGGATTCAGCAACCATTTAAAACTCAAATAATTTTAGCCGATTAATTGCTAAAAATTTCAAATTTTCAATACGAGTCCTTAAATTTTAACAAAATAAATCAAAAATTATTATTATTTTACCAGATTTTTTTTTCTTTCTTATATTTTTGTCTAAATTAAATAAAATTTGTACAAGAAAAACAACAAGAACAACAAAATTCAATCGAGGCAAATAAATCGAAAATCAAAATTCAATTTTGTAATTTTGACGTGACTTATTTGATTTTAAAGGAAATAAAAAATTGATTTATCTTATTTCCGGTAGAGGTCAACACTAATAAAAATCATTTTGCATTGATTTTTTTTTTCAACCATTTTATTTTTTTTTGATTGATTTTCAATTTAAAATGATTTTGTTTTTATAGTGATTTTAATCACGTGTTCGTTTTGATTTTTTTTTTTTTTTGTGTCATTTTACTTGTAAAAGGTTGATCAATCAAAAATAATGAATTTAAGGTATTAGATTAGAGAAGAAGTTCCAGATTTTTAAAAATTTTAAAAGATGTTAAATGAAAACGGTAAGTTTTATGGTTTATTTTTGGCCATTTTAAAAGAAAATCAGATTGAAAAAGTTGATCATTGCGATTGTTATGGACATTATAGTTCCATAATGTTAAAGCTAGAGCAATATATCGTTTGAAACTTCTTATCTTGTCAGTTAATACGGCACTGTCATCATTTTCGAATAATAGAAATTTAAACACAAAATTTTCAAATTTTTTCCTAAATTCAGTAGTTGCAAAAAAATTGCATATTTTTAGGAAAACTATATTTTTTGTTACTATTAATAATCTAGTTGTATTTAATGAAAACTATAGAGTAAAACTGCACATATTAAAATATCTTATATTTTTTGATGTCATTAATGGAATTTTGTTGTTTTTGACGGAACATTCTTTTTTCGAATATTATTTCTAATTATATATGATTAATTTTTACAATCCATACTCATAATAACTAATAGGAAACTGGAATTTCAATAGACATTAATTTCTCTTGAATTAATAAAGAATAATTTCATATTGTACTCAAATTTATTTATGATCTTTTAAGAAAATTCTAGAATTTTTCGTGTCAAATCCCAATTTTTTAGCATTTTAAAGAAAATTTAATGTTTTGTATATTTTTATCAAAAATTAAAAAAATTTTAACGCTTTTGATATAATCATCTTTTTTTATGTTTTCTAGAAAAATTAAGGGATTTCATGAGGAATGAAAGTTTCTTAAATTTACTAATAGAAAAATACTTTTTTTTAAGTGAATTTCAAATACGAAATTCAAACATTAAAATCTTATAGACCAGACTATATACATTCATATATGTATGGTATATTAAATTTCAAAAAAAATCTAAAAAAAATTCTTAGAACCGATCATCATTGATTCTTACACATTTTGATATTATTGTTCGTAAATAAAACAATTTTGTTTTCCTTCTTCACTCCTAGGAGGAGGAGAACAGGCGGAGGCGGAGGACTCAAGAAGGAGGACAGGCCTAGTACATAATATCATAGATAGTCAAGCCCCATTTTCATTTGCACCATAGTGTTCTAACTAGGTAGGTGACTAGTCTGCCAAAATAAAACAAAATTAAAATATTTGGGTACCTAAATTGATTATCACATAAATAACATTTCTTTGTAATTATTTTTTTGAAATTTTAAAAGAAATTTAAAAAGCGTGTAAAGGATGGTGCATTATACAGGAAAGAAAATTTTCCCTTTATACACAAAGAATACCAAAACTGGCAAAAGAAAAAATTAATTTATCATATCAAATTTGTTTATTTATACACATATGCATACGTGTTTGTTTGTTTGTTTATATCTAATATATATTTATGAATGTCTGAATTTATCATTAACATACACAGAGAGAGAAAAAAAATTTTTTTCTTCAATTCCTTTGGTATTTTCAATTTTTTTTTCTTTGTTTTTGTTTTTTCTATGTATATACACCCTCAATATATATTTCGAGAACAGGTGCTATGCATAGAAACACAACAAAAAAAAAAAATAGAAATAAAGAAAGAATAGAAGAAAAGAAACAAAAAAAAATAGAGCTCAAATGTACTGAGAATAAAAAAGATAATAAAAAAAAATTTACAGACTGTTAGCTAGCAAAATATTCTGTTTTTTTTTTTTATTTTTTCATTATTATTTTGTTTAAGAGGAACAACGAAGCTAACATAATAATATCCTTATAAAATTCTCTTCCTATTCAAGATAACAACAAAAGCATTTCAAAGAAGATGAAGAAGAAGAAGAAAAATGAAACCAGAAAAGTTTTTTTTTTCTTTATTGTTGTTCTTGTTTTTATTATTGTTGTTGTTCTTCTCCTTTCATTTTTCTAGTTAATTTTTTTTTTTATTCAAAAATCATTTATTTGCTGACGTCAATACAAAATTTATTATTTTAGTATTTTTTTTTATTTTGTTTTTTTTTTCCTTCATTTCTTTCAATGTCTTTTGTTGTTGTTATTATTTCTCTTTTTAATTTTGTTGTTGCTATTGTTGTTATTTTTGTTGGTATTCATTAGAAAATCAACACGGATTTTTCTGCGATAATTAATTGCTGCCTAGATGAGGAAAAAAAATTTTTTCTTTTTAACTTTTTTTTTCTTTTCCTCTTCTTTCTCTTTAATATTTTTTTTCTTCTGTTTGTATTTTTTAAGGTTGATGTTTTTATTATTGTTGTTGTTTCTAACACTTTTGTTTTTCATAAAAAAAAAAGTTTTTCTTTTGTAAAGTACA